AAAGGGGTTTAGAGATAAATCCAAGTAAAGGAAGATTTAAATCCAAGAGAGGAAATTCTACTTCAAGTAGAGGGAAAGTTGTATGCTGGATCTATGGAAAGAATAGTTACTTGAAGGACTGTATAGTTCCAAAGAAGGGCAGTGGTAGGAATTAAGACAAAAATCATTCTGCAAATATATTTGCAAAAGAAGTTCAGTCATATTTTCTGATTTTATCTCTAGATAATTCTAAATCTTAGGTTATAGATTCAAGTGTTTCTTTTAATGCAAGTCCTAATAAGGAGGTATTTAAGAACTATACTCAATGTGATTTGGGTAAATTGTTTCTGGGAGACAACAAGCCCAGTAGCATTGTTGGACAGATAGAAGTTGATATCAGAATGTCGGATGGGTCAATTTTGAGACTCAAGAATGTTAGGCATGTTTATTATATAAAGAGGAGTTTAATTTCTTTAAGTCAACTTGCAAACTTAGGCCATGTGATATCATTCACAGGAGATTCGTAGAATGTGACAAAAAAGGCTATGGTTATTACTCGTAGAAGTATTGAAGGCACCCTATATGTTATCAATAGAAGATCAGATTCTATTAGAGTAGCAGATTCAGATGTTGATGGAGGACTTTGGCATCAAAGGCTTGATCATATGAGTAAGAAAGATATACATTCACTTCTTACTAGAGAAAATTTCATGGTTTAAAATCTATAGATTTAGATTTTTGTGAAGATTGTTTATATGGCAAGCAACATAGGGTGAGTTTTGTAAATACTGGTTCAAAGATCAAGTCAAAGAAGTTGGAGTTAGTGCATATTGATGTATGGGATCTTGCTCCAGTTACTTTTATAGGAGGATCTTTGTATTTTGTCATTTTTATTGATGATCACAATAGAAAAGTATGGGTGTACTTCTTAAAACACAAGTCAGATATGTTTGATATTTTTAAGTCGAATGTCATGGTTGAGCTTGAGACAAGTTTGAAACTCAAGTGTCGCAGATCAGATAATGGTGGCGAGTATTGTAATAAGAAGTTCAAAGAGTATTGTGCTTTGAATGTGATCATGCATGAGTTCACTGTTCTAAGAACACCACAGTAGAATGGTGTTGCATAGCGGATGAATAGAACTATCACTGAGCATGCCAGGAGCATGAGATTACATGCTGGTCTACTCAAGCAGTTCTGGGCAAAGGCAATAAATACTACAGCTTATTTGATCAATCGTGATCCTTCAGTTCCTCTGAATAAGAAGTTACCTGAGGAAACCTGGAGTGGAAAAAATGTTAGTTTATCTCACCTCAAAGTTTTTTGTTGTTCATCCTATATTCATATTGATGCAGGATTTAGGAGTTAGCTTGATCCAAAATCTATCAAATGTACATCCATCGGATATGGCTCAGATGAATTTGGCTACAAATTCTAGGGTTATCAGAATCAAAAGTTCATCAGGAGCAGCGATGTCAAATTCAATAAAAGGAAATATATAAGGATAGAAATGAAACTCCTAAAGATTATTCAAAATATATTGAGATAGAGAATGATGATGATCAAGAAGGAAAAATTGATGAAGCATAGAGAGTACCTCAAACTCCTGCTATTGAAATTAGGAGATCCACCATAATCTCAAGACCAATACAAAGATATTCTCCTACCTTTTACTATCTTTTTCTGGCAGATAATGGTGAACCAGAGTGCTATGAGGAAGTTATTCAAGTTGATGATTCAAAGAAGTGGGAGCTAAGTCATGGATGATAAGATGCATTCACTTGAGTTGAATCAAACTTAGGAGTTGACAGAGCTACCAGATTGAAAGATAATACTACAAAATAAGTGGGTTTACAGGCTAAAACAAGAGCTTGATGGTAGCAAGATCTATAAGACTAGACTTGTAATTAAAGGTTTTTAGCAGAAGGAAGGACTAGACTTCACTGAAATTTTCTCTCCAGTAATAAAGATGACTACAATCAAAGTTGTATAGCAGTGAAGAATTTACATCTAGAGCAGATGGGTGTACAAATAACATTTCTTCATGATGGCCTTGATGAAGAGTTGTACATGGTGCAATCTTAGGGATATGTGGTCATGAACAATAAAGAGTTGGTGTGTAGGCTTAGGAGAAGCTTATATGCACTAAAGCAAGCACTAAGATAATGAAACAGTAGATTTGACAAGTTTATGTCAAATAATGGGTATGCAAAGAGCCAAACATACCAGTATACCACTGTTATTTTTTCAAACATTTTGATAATTGTTATATTATTCTGCTTTTGTATGTGGATGCATGCTAGTTGCAAGGTCAGACATAGAGAAGAAAAAATGTCTAAATGAACAGTTATCAAAAGAGTTTGAAATGAAAGATCTAGGTCCAATGAAGAAAATTCTTAGTATGAGAATCAGTAGTGATAGAGATGCAAGTATACTAAAATTGTCTTAGGCTAATTATGTTGAAAGGGTGCTTCAGATATTCAACATGAGTGAGGCAAAGCCAATTTGCACTCCCTTAGGTAGCCACTTTTAGCTATCTAAGGAACAATCACCTAAATCTGAAGCAAAGGAAGAACTGCTGAAGAATAATATATATGCTTAAGCAATTGAAAGTTTGATTTATGCTATGATCTATATGAGATCTAATATAGCAGATACAGTAGGAGTTGTCAGCAGATTTATGAGTAACTCAGGCAAACTTCATTGGGAGGTGATTATGTCAATTATTAGGTACTTGAGAGGATCAGTTGACAAACCTTTTTATTTTGGTGGTGCAGGGATTAATCTATAGGGATATGTAGATTCTGATCTTGCTGAAGATCTAGATGGGAGGAGCATAACATGATATATCTTCATTTTGGAAAAGACTGCAGTGAGTTGGGTTTTCAAGTTATAGAAAATTGTTGCACTTTCAACCACATAAGCGCAGTATATACTATCATTGGAGCTACCAAGGAGATGATTTGGTTGCAAAATTTCTTGACAGAACTTGCCAAATGGAAAAGGAATGGGATGTTGCATAGTGACAACATGAGTGTTATTCATCTAGCCAAGAATCCTGCATTCCATGCCAAGACGAAGCACATCTAGCTTTAGTATCATTTCATCAGGTCGCTTCTAGAAGATGGTAAGTTATCTTTGAAAAAGATACACATAATCGAGAATCTTGCTGACATGCTAACGAAGATGGTGACAGTTAAAAAACTGAAGCTGTTTAGCTTCAATTGGTCTTCATGGAGGATGAAAGCAGGGGTGAGCCACACTACATGTACGATGATTGGTGTTACAGATCGGGAGAAAGATTAATTGCAATCAGTTTCAAGTGAGATATTGTTATGCGTAGAATATGATTGTGTTAATTAATTGGGTGATTTTGTTGTCTCGGACCTCAGAGCTCGTCGTGTTCGTTAGAGGGTAAGGGGGGGTTATCCCCTGCTTGGGTTCATGTGATTTCACAACAACAAAAATTTTCGTACAATTTCGCAGTGCTATGTACCCGAGTGCTTCGATACTGTGTTCCCGAGCGCTATGACATTGTGTTCCCAAGCGCCCCAACACTAAACGACAAAGAGTAGAACACCACAGCGGCCGAAATATGGCGCTGCAGCAGAGCAAGACAGAGGCTTCACCATCACAATGCCCCAAACGGGCACCGCAACGCAGCGAGGCAGACTGGCCAATTTTCTTTCTCTTTTTTTCTCAAAGGTTGCGTCCCTTGGTGGATATAACTGGCTTTCTCTTGTATTGTTTCATAAGGGCAAGAGTGAAAAAGTTGCATATGAGAAGAGAAGCAATGAGAGCGAGATAGAAGAGAGATCTGTACTTATTTCTCCTAATTTTCACAGTGGATTTCTTGGTGTGGCGTGGCTCTGTGAGTTTTTTTCCCTATTTTGATTTTTTCCATGTTAAATCCTGGTGTCCTCTATTTTCCACAGCTTTTACTTTCTTGTTTATTTCTCTGGGTTGTTTTATTCTCATCCGGAACATTGCTTTCACTTAAATCTATTTGCTAATATTTTTTGGTATACTTTTTTGCTTGATGATAAAATCTAAACCACCAAACTAACTTTTTCAAAATAAACCTATAGTGATCCCTGATCTCAAATTCTCTCTCATCTAACAATTTCTCACCATATCTAAACTAATTTTACCCAAGACTCAAAATCCTATTTCATAACAAATCTAATTATAGTATTAAAAATTTTGCATTTACATATTTATACTTTTCGTTTATCATATAGTACTTTCAAGTCATTTCTACATTTTAACCATCCAACTTTTAAATCTAGAAATTATGTCCCCTCCATATATCTATTATTTGGTATGGTATATCTAATGTGCTTAAATCAATCACCCTAAGCTATCAACTTATCTTCCATTACTATAGACTAATGCTTACCAATTCCATATCATACACTCAATCTTTGTTCCCCTAATCCTAAGACCCTCACCTTCTAAACTTTTCTTCAATATTTCTAACTTTTCAATTCAAAAAAAGCCTCACTAACCAAAAATGTCATTTGCAAATAGTAACATCAATGACCTCATTTTAAATATTTTTTAAAACATCTTCATAATCAATACAAAAACGTTATAGGCTTTCATCCTTTGTGTAATCTCAAAACATTATGGTTGGAAATTCTTTGGTCAACTAATATAATCTCTATTTTAGCCAAACTTTACCATAAAAACTTTAAGAACTTGATAATAACTTTTACACACATTTAATCAATCTAAAGTCCACCACATTAATTCCCATGGCACTTCTATGACATTTCAAAATTAATAAAGACCCTATAAAGTTGCTTCTCCATATATTTGAATTAATATCCTTAGAATAAAAATTACTACATTTTAGAATTTTCTTGCATAAAGCAAATCAAGTGTAATGTTTTACCCACCCAAAAACTGAACACAAGTCAACATATAAGAAACAAAATGAAATCATGTATTCAAAACAAGGCATGGAAAATCCAACTAAGGCAACGAAAAATTTTTATGCAGTGGTCGACAACTCGCACCTGTTCTCTTCCGAGTCGGGCAGTATTGAGTGGAACTTCCCAGGAACCGCAAGCCCGGCAACCATACAAAGAACCAATCCCAGAAGCAGTTCAATCACGACCTAAACAAGTGGGTATTAGCATAGCATTAAAATCACAGATTAAACAGCAAAAGGTCTTGGATCCAAAGCAGCGGCAAACAATAAAAAATAAGAAATTTTAAGCAATGGGCATGTGATTACATTGGTGGGAGGACCGGAAAACTCCTCCATAATCTTGAGCATCCCTCTATCTGCAACTCGGATCGAACGCAAGGATTAGCAGGAGAATCAAAACCCTATTTTTAAATTCGAGATATTGTGCGAAGGAAAGATCTGAGCGTACACTGAATTGTTGCGTAAGCGGCATGGGCGAAGAGGAGACCCCCGATAACACCAGCAATGAATCCGACGCCCATCTTTCTCTCTACGTAGAGATTGGTAGCGAGGTACCAAGGGTTTCGCAGACTTTCCGATCTCCGGTGAAAACTCACTAATGACGAGTCTGAACTAGAAAACTACAAAAAGCGCATCGCCGGCTATTTTCATGGGCTTAAAAATTACCTAATCGCTTAAAATATTTAGGATGGAAGATCTGAATTTATAATTTCATGTTTAAATTTGGTATATCTTTGATTTTATTTTAGTTTTTACTTCCACTTAAAGCAAAAAAAAATGCTTAGTTGACCTATTTATAATATTAAAAAAATAAAATAAAGTACATGTTTTATGAAATTTATATTAATTTTGACATAGGGAACATTTGGCTTGATGAATTTTAAATGAAATATTTCAATGGTGAATTTAAAATTCATCATCTGGCTCAATTTTCTTATATTTGAAAGTCATTAAATCTGATCTACTTTCAATATATTGTAAATTCTTTGTCATAGTCGATGCAAATTAGCATATACTGACGCCAGCCACAGTCTTCATCGCCAAACACTATATGTTATTACTATCATAATTAGTTGTCAGCCAACATTGCTTGTTGTCAATCATGTTTGAAGTCATTTCCCACCCTCCTTTGCATGTATTCATTTTACTTCAAATCAAAATTAAAAACAAAATAATCACATGCATTTATTTTAGACTCATCTAAAAAACACTAAACATTTCAAACATATCATTTACATTATCTTCCATTTTACTCTGCATTTCTTTTTCAAAAAAATCAAATAATCAGTGAATTCATTTTTTCTTTATTTGTTTGCTAATTGTTTCCAATATTTTTGTATCCTGGATTTGATCTTCATTATAAGCAGGTTAGACCCTATCGGGTATATTGTCCATTCCTCGTATCAAGATTTAAACATAGGAGATTGCCCACTTACCAAAGAAAAAAGCACAGAAGCCAGCTGAAACCAAATGAGATCATGACTTTGTTTGAGATAATTTTCTTATTTTCTAACACAAATTATTTTTAGAAACAACAAAAACAAATAATGATAAAAAATTATCCCAAATGAAACCCAAATCATCACCAATAAACTTTTGTCAACTACATAATGTTGGTCATTTGCAACCAGAGCCTTACATGAGGTTCTGGTTGGGTACCCATTGGGTACCCACGCTCTGCGCTGGCAGGCTTTGCCCACCCATGCCCACTTATGATGAATTTCGGGATGTCATACCCACCCACACCCACCCACTTTCCATGCTTCTTGAATGCAGTCTGTCACGGATTAATGACATTGAGATTTTTTGCCTTTTTCTCTGACTGCAAACTTTTAAGCCACATATCAAAATTTATCGTGATCGTGATGCGGTTCAGTGCTGCGCACTGCGTAGTAAGGATTATTATAATATACTACATGCATATGATGATTAGTAATGTAAATTGATTTGTCCCTTGATGTTGAGTACCCACCCACGAGGCTATGGGCGTACCCATACCCACCCATGCCCATTGGGTATGGGTGGGTACGTGGGTGGGTGTGGGTATGGGTACCAAATGCAGTTTGCAACCTCATTCTACATATGAAGGGCAAAAGCATACCCTCCTAGTTATGCGTGCAATTTGTTATAAAAAAAATTAATTTGGGACGACTTTTTTAATGCTTTTTAAGACAGTGTTTTAATAAAAAAATGATAGTTCAATTTTTTTCTAATTAAAAAACTGTTTTAAAAAGCAATAAAAAACTATCCCAAACAAAGGAATAGCTTTCTCACTACTTTTAAAAGCAGCTTCCTAATACAAAAATTTTTAGGAAGGAAGCTTCCTATATCTGATGATTCAGGATTCAGGATTGTATGCCAAGAATACAAGATCACATTAAAACAGATATATACTATTATACAAAGGTACACAAAGGTCCAGGTTCAGTTTATTATAACACATATCATATGAAATTGCCTAAATGGACACAAATGAACAGCTTTGAGGAAGGAAGCTTATGAACTTTTTTCTTTTTTCATCCGAATGTCTTCTCGCTGCTGTAGTACATGTACAGGAACCCATCTTCATCTTTGTAAAATTCATAAATTGATTCCACAAGGCTAGCTGCTTAGAAACAATTACAGGCAGTGTGAGATTTTTAAATAAAATGTTGAAGACATTGAATCCATGTAAAGGGGAAGTAGAGATAAAAAAAGTTTACATGTTTGAGGTAAAGTGTTATTGACAAACACAAAGAGTGCTTTTCCTGGTGCCAGATGAAGCCTGCAGCTCAAAATGTGAATGAATTGTCCAATGGACATGTCTCTAGGAACCAGGTACCTGATGAATTAAGGAAATTCTATGATTAAAAAAAAAGAGAGGAAATTCTATGATTTAAAAGGCAGAGATATCTAGATATGATAGATTTAAAATATCCAAACTCAATATGCAAAAGAAGAAGAAGGATATATACATATATAAGTGGATATAACTTCTATGCTTAATACCTAAGGAATATGTTAGGAAACCCTTGAAGATCTCAAGTGAACCCTAACAAAAGAGACAAAAACAATGAGAAAACTCCACAAGTTTGAGGAAAATCAGAGAAAAATGGCAAGTTTTATTGAGAAAAAATAACTAACGGAAGAAACAACAAGATAAAATTGATCCTTAATTCGAGAGGAGGATCGATCTCTCTCAATCTCTAGATGAATCTAGAGCCCAAGACACCAAGAACAATGGACACCAAATCAGCCACCCAATCAAAGCATCCCACGCACCCTAATCCCTCCTTCCTACTTAAAGCATGCAATTAATATTTAATGCCAAATTACAGGTTTGTCCTTGCCGCCCCCTCCTTTGGCTCCAAAGGATTTGAATTTGAAATAGTGGGCCCCATCTCCCTCTCCCTTGCCGCCCGCCTCCTATACACCCGAGCCGGCCCTTGGCAAGGGGCCGGCTGGACCGGTTCAGTAGGAACCGGTCTATCAGAATACTATACAATTAAGCAGGCTATGTTTTATGAGACTTAAGGGAGGGCAATGGAAAAGTTAATAGCCAAGTTGAATATGATCAAAATGAAAATGAAAATGCTAAGATGAATATGCGACAAAATTAGAAAGAATAAATTGAAGAATTATAATATTAGGTGGTTTGAATACATATAATTAAGGATAGAAAATGCATCAATTAGATGGGTGGATAAAATTAGTATTCAACGATTCGGAAAAAAGGTATATCTAAGATAACATGCATACATGTGATTCAAAAACATTTGCATAGAACAGATTCAACGCTATAAAGCGCTTAACATGAACAAAAGAAAAAGTAGAATTCAGAAAGCCGACCAAACTTCTGAAATCCGATATACAATACTCACAATGTTTGTGACCCAAATAGTTTTTAAGACTTACATTGAAGCTTAACACTTAACTGCTCTAAAAATTCTTTATGAAGACTTAAATGTTTAAGCACAATTAATGTCATGATGGAACTATTTATATTATTATCACAATAGGATAAAAAAGTTAAGATAAGGCTGAAATTGGTGATGGTAAGAATAGCAAGTATACGCCAAGTCGCTGCTGGCTTCCATAGAGCTTAAAATCTTGTGGAATTACTTGCATTTTCTCGATAACCAGGAATGGTAATGTGCATAATCCTTGTGCAGATAAAAACTAACAACAAATTCCCGTGTATGTAATAAAAGCTAGGGTGGACACTCACCGACAAATATCTTGCAACGGAAGATCACACAAATTCATCAGAAAAAATGATTTTAAAATGCTGCATATGTGGTAGTAAGACATGAAGTCAAACCAAAAGCACGAGTCAGACCAGTCCATTGGATCGGTCCAGTCAGTCCCATACGGACCAGTTCATGCAGACAGAGGCAGGATTTCTCCGCCTCTCCTGTACGCCGATCCAGCTGCAAAAGCCAGCTGAGCAGATTTGGAATGTTTTTTGAGAGAGTTGAGAGGGAAATTTGAATGTAGGAACTATTTAGAGATTTCATTTTTGATTTTATGCATTAAATAGTTTGTTATCCTAGGATTAGGACATCTTGAATTGGGCTGAAATTTGAGATCTCTTAGATTTAGGTTTTCTTTTGGGCTCTAGCGGAGTCAAGAGATTTGGGAGAGATAGATCCTCCTCTCGAATAGAGGATCAATTGTATATTGTTATTTTCCATTTCTCTTTTATCAAATAATACATATTATCTACTGCTTTCGTGGTTTGTTGTGGATATTTGTCGACATTTCTCGTTGTTTTTGCTCTCTTGATAGGATTTTTTTGGAATCTTCGAGTGTTTCCTATCAGCATGTTTCGTTTCAGAATTTTATTAGCATAATTAAGGATATTTTTCATGTTTTTTACTGAACAAATATAAACTCGAAGAGCACGAAATGTTCATTAAAACCTTGATAAAGTCAATAATACAGGAACATCAGAATAGATCTAGTCACTCATCTAGTTGTAAGGGTTAGAATAAATTCAATAAACTAGGCTACTTACTTTCTCTTCTCCATGCCAGGCAGATCACTCCTAGCAAATCTCTCAGCAATAACCTTACAGATGCAGAAGTAAAAAAAAATCAGTCGCTAGTAGCAATATAGTGTCTTATATAATTCTTAAGCTAATCAAATAAATATGATAACGACCACAAAGCTCACTTTGTTCTTAGCAATATTATATGTAATATTATTATATTGACCGCAAACATTCTGTTTCCTTCTAAAATCCTTCGTTTTAAAAGACCTAGGGCTGGAAGCAGCACACAAACACAAATTGTATGTAAACTTAAAAACAAAACGTCAACCCACTTAAAAAAATTTAAATGTGTATTTCATAATTATTTTTTTAATAAGAGGTTCTTTCTAAATTCAAAAGAAATCATGTTTTGAAATGCACCATGAACTAAAATAAACATACCTAAATGACCTTTTAGTTTTTTAAATGGAACAAAAATTAAGAATTGGAAGAGACATAAAGGAAGATGATAATATAACTATGTAGTAGATACAAATAAGCAAACTAATATAAAACTAATGCTTCATTTGGGACGACTTTCTTACTGTTTCTTAAAGCACCTTTCTAGTACAAAAATTTTAAATAAAATTTTTGTACTAGAAAGCTGCTTTAAGAAGCAATAAGAAAGTCATCCCAAACAAAGCCTAAAAAATATAACCAGCTAATGCAACAAACAAACTCTTATCTTTCCTGGTACATGATTTTTTTTTAGCACTCGTGCGTGCATTTAAAAATGATATGCAAATGCTAGGCATATCTGCAAAAGAGAGAGATTCTCCTCTCACGCTCAAGAACATTCAAATTGTCGAACAGAATATAACCAAATATAATGCCAAAATTCCAAGGCTATAAAATATGCATGGTATTATTCTTTTTCTTTAAACAAAGCAAAATCAGCAAAATAATGTACCAAATAAAATATAAAAAAAGTATCATTATGATGTAATCATATAAAATAATGCGGCTAAGTTCTTAGACTCGAACAATGCATCTGTGCAACAATTAAAAGGATGCTTAAACTTCCTCTAGCATATCTCAGAGATTCTTTTTTAATAGTAATCAAAACTATTAATTGTTTTTCATATCTCTCTCAATGCCCTTTTTGTCCTAAAAAATGATCCCTTCTTACCATTCCCTCCCTCCAACCACAACAACATCAAGCCTTTATCCCACTACATGGGGTCCACTACAAGAATCTTTTTTCTCCATTCTATCCTATTAAGAGTAAAATTTTCATTTAAATCTAGTAAAAAAAAATAATTATAATATTTTTAAACCAAATTTTTTTAGGTCTTCCTCTACCTTGTTTAACATGAGCGAAATCTAATACATCTACTCTCCTAACTAGGTCATCAGAAGGCCGACATCTTAGATGTCCAAACCATTTAAGGCAACTCTCTCTAATCTTATTTGTCACTGGAGCTACTTCAACCTTTTCACGTATATACTCATTTTGCATTCTGTCTCTAAGAGTGAAGACACTCATCCACCTAAGCATCCTCATCTCTACAACACTTAATTTAATTTTATGCTTCTCTTTTAATGGTCAACATTCTGCACCAAAAAGCATTGCAGGTCTCACCAACATCTTATAGAGTTTTACACTTTTCCCTTAAGTTTGAGGGGGAACTTTTTTGTCACACAACAGACCCAATGCCTTTCTCCACTTTAACCATGTAACTTGAATTCTATTAATAATATATAATCTATTTCATCATCACTTTGAACAATAGATCTGAGATATCTAAAACGTGCACTCTTATTAATGACTTGATAGCCCAAATTCACATTTCCTCCACTAGATCAATTATAACTAAAATTTCACTCCATGAATAAGAAAAATAGATGATTGTTTTAGGTAGTCGACAACCAGCATAAAATTTATCGAATAACCATAACATAAATCCCACCTCCTACCAAAACATACAAATCCAATTAGAAGCCCAAACCCAAAAGAATAAACATGTCTCTGACCATTGCGTTGGAGCAACACTGCATCAGGATTTTGTCCTCCATCTTTTAGGGTGACCATCCTCTAGCCTCAGCTTCATCAGAGTTTTGACACTCTGAAGATGTTGTAACCAGGCTTAACACATGTATCATTTACTCTTTCACAGAAGTGGCCAATCATGTTAGGTTCTGCCCATTTACACACATAGATTTCCTCCTTAAAAGTCTTATGCTTCAGTTTACTAAGTTGGTCTGATGGTTATTGAATGATTTGAACAATCTAAGGCGAAGTATGGTAAAGTTTTTCTTTTTGATTCCTAATGATCATCTGCACTTTAGATATATAAATATTTCTAAAACTATTTCCCTCCATAGCTTATGGTATTTAATTGCAAAATGTGCTTGCTTGTAGCATTGTTGTTTTGCTTATGAGGATGGCCAACTCTTTCTAAATGAAGAGGAAACTTTCTAACTTTTCCTGGCTTGGGATCAGGTTATATTACACTCAAACTAAAGCATTAAACGCCCACAAACTTTTGTGATGAGATGGGAGCTTGACACCCTTTAATCTTGTCCTTCATGCATCTCCTGTCAAAGCAAAAAGACATTACAAGTGTCATACTGTCCTGTAGTTTTAGATGTTTTTTGCAATAGCATTTTTAGTTGTCAAAGGTGCACCTTTCTATCTTGGGTGTTTAAAATATTACATTTTGATGGCTTACTTAGTGTTGCTTTATTGAATCCTTCAATAATGACAAGAAGAACAAAGGAATGGGCACATACTTGGCCTTTCCTGTGATTTTGAATGTTCCTATTCGTGAGACAAATAATTTTCCTAGTTCAAAAGAAATTGTGCTTTTTCCAAATTTCTGACAGTTTGCTTTTTGTATCAAAGCAATAGAGAGCTAGGAAAAAGAGGGATGACAAGGGAGTAGAGAAGATCAAGCAAAATAAAGAATTTTTGTAAGAATCTTTTTTTATATCCACATTATAGAAGTTATGTTTTTCTTTCCCTTCTTTTGTGTTACTCCAAATATATATCAGTACATGTAATGTTCTTAACCAACATCTGATTCACTTTTTTCTTTATAAAATGTCAGCCATTTTACTTAATGTTTATGCATTGATGTTATTCCATTCTATTCATAGTCATCTTAATGCACGCAAACTTGAAGAGTAGAGAAACCACAGCGTGCATTACCACAAGCAAGAAACTCAGTGAATGCAAAAATGGGGATGGAAATAGAATAGTGCGATTGTGAGAAGGATGAGGAGATAAAGTCCTTCGTCAGAGATCTATAGATAAGTTGAAATAATTAGGTAGACCATATGGTATTTTAAATTTATGGAATGATGTTGCTGACTCTTGTGTGCAGGAATGGCAAGGCTATAAATGGGAGAAGTCTTCTAGTTGACCTTTGTAGCGGTGCTACAAAATTAATTGCTTTCAGAAGGTAAATTTATAGCTTCATGCTTAAAACCCTAATTAATTGTATAATGCAAGTTCTTAAGTATGGATCACATGGTTTGTCTGTTGATGATATGCATTAAAGACATATTAGAAGTGAGAGAAGAACATGCATTTGGTTTAAGCTGGACTATAAATCAAATTGGCTAAATAATCACACAAATCATTCATGGCGTATGTTGGCTCTTGCACTCTTATTGCAATATATGCGTTTGATTTTTTTTTTTTTTTTTTCATGCTTCATATACCATTGTGCTGATTAGTCCAACTCCAACATCTACAATTTTGTCCTCCAAAGTTGCCAAACAATAGCAACACCGCAGGCATGTTCTCCTTTTCCAATCACTTAAACCATGATTCTCTAGTTTTCAGGGGCTTAAGGGCTTTAAAATCACTTTATGCCAATCGAGCATACCTGATAATCATAGCAATGGCCAGCAACATGAGAGATTATTCTGTGCGGACGCCAGATGCAGCTCTACGTCCAGATGCCGCAGTACCGAACAATATCGAGCCGTGGTACCGAACAGTACCGAGCTGCGGTACGGTAAAAGAGTGACATGGTGCATTTTTATTGGTCTTCGGACCTCATTCGGGGTCCGCAAAGAATAATTTTTCCAACAATAAAGGACAAAAACAAGAAGACTGCTACCTAAGTTTGCCGCTGGGACAATCTAATTCATATTAACAAAAAGTTTCCATTAAAGCAATCTTATCTATCTGTATGTGAACAAAATGTTAATTACTTACTGCATATTTTAAAGATTTGGAAACTGTAGTCAATTGTCCTTGTGGCTAAATCCTTTTTTTAATTGATTTTCTCATTATATTTAAAATTAAAACACCTAAATCTTATTAGCTTACATACAACTCTTGAACTTATCTGCAAAAATTCCAAGGTTTTCATCATCAAGTTGCTTATTCCATTGTTGTACTACATTCTGCATTAAAATGCTAAGCAGATGGAAGATCCATCGACTGAGAAATAATTAAGATTATGGATGATAAGGTTTATTACTTTTCATATCCAATCATCTCAATTACAATTTCAATGCAACAACCTAAACATTTAGTGCATACCCAAATATTATGACAAACTAGTAATGGACATGATTTTAGCTAGAAATCAACCCAAGTGTTACAACTGACCAAAGATACATGCACTTTGTGCACATAAATCTTTCCAAGTATTACTGGAAAATCCATTTATTCCACAATAGTAACCTATGAGATTAAGCTGCAAGGTTAAATGGTTACCAATCTTTGCCAGTCTTGAAGTAGGCCTTGAGTTCAACCCATATCCACACCAATTTCTTTCTTAAAAAATGAAAAGTGTGGCGAATATACTGTTGTGGTCATCCAGTAAAATGTCTACAGAGCAAGTCAATTAGCTCAAGCTTGTAAAATGGCATAAGTTTGCACACAAGGCATTTTTACAATACAAAGTTCACCAATTACTGCTATTGGCAAGTCAAGTATGCTTACTGTTGTTTAGGGTTTACAAAAAGAAGCAATAAAAAGTTATCTGAGTTTAAACTTATCCATTGAAATAATTTTTTTTTTTCGTATGCTAAGGACGGAAAGAAGCAGGAATTACTTTAGAAGATTGATAGAATTTCCAGTGATGCCCTACAGAAAAGGGAAATTTAAAAAAAAAAAAAAAACTTAATCGATTGAATACCAACAGGAAACTCACCGGTACCCGCTCAGGATATTTGGCAATGATCTCCTTGGATTCCTCACATCTATCCTCTGCAACAAGATTAGCCTCTCAAAAAATTGAACTTTATCCCGAAAAAGATCCCAAGACTGGAAATTGTGAATTAAAAACACATAAAATACTAATATAACAAGAGATGGCCAACCGAATGAGTATTCTTCCTTGAAGAGTTTCATCTTCTTCATTTTCAACCGCCAAAGAGATCTCGGGTGATGAAGATGAGAAGGAAAGGGGGTGGAATTTGGGGCAGGGGGTTGCGTTGGTCGAATGCTGAGTGAAAATTAGGAAACCAAGGAGAGAAGATGATGCAAGGCATAAATCTGTAGATCTGTAGAAGAACGAAATGAAATATATATTTTTTAAAATTATTATAATGAAGAAAGAATGCTTTTCACGATAATTGATAATTTACTCATTTAATTTATTTTGAGATGAATATAATACATAAATATTTAATTAATAATTAAATTCCATAAATTAATACAAATATGTGACAAAAAAATATTTTCTAACCAAATTAATTGACCTAATTTCTTTCCTATTTATCATATCTAAATCCATGATACTATTGGACCAAGGCTTTATAGTAAAATAATTAATCATGTTGTTTTGATGATGACAATCATTCTAGTTGTTGTTAGATTGCTGATCATATATGATATTTGATATATCTTGAAATACTCAAAAGAAAATGAACCAACATAAAATTTTGACTTTAAAATTATTTTAGAAATTAAATGAACTACCTATGATACAAATTTACTATAAAAATAAATAATTTGTGAAGTCGAATATGTCGACACCAAAATAATCTAACTCGAGCAACCGGAGGGGCATTAACAGAAAGAACCAAAGTTAGTCAGCTCGACTTGTCGAATTGGCCAAGTCAATCAGGTTGGACACGGAAAGAGGGAATGGACACATGTAAAGGGTGATGAAAATAAAGTCATTTTAGTGCCCCAAAATTAAATTTTGAATAATTGCCTATTTTATCTTCTTAATTAATCAAGCAGAGCTTTTATAAATCATCACAGTAATAAATCTATATCTAGTAAAAGCAACTAACAATCATTTATCTCAAAATATTTCAATATATTTTCAAAATCAATATACAATAGCAAGAGATCAATATAATTACTACTCAATTACAAACTTCTGACTACAAAAAAGAAAAGGAAAAGTTAAACAAAATTGTAAAACAACTAACAATCTATGTTAATCTCATTTCAATAGGTACTGACATCTTTTCTGACCTGAAATCTAAAAATTTTACATAATTATCATAAAAGCCTAACAAGTAACCAAAATTCTATCACTATTTTCAATGAAAGACAAAATAATCATTATGTAAGTTTCATTCTAGTCACTATCAATCATCAATAAACCTTCTATGTTAGCCAAATTGAATAGGGAAAATGAGATTTAATGATTTTCAGTTAATAGAATTAGATATTTATGACTAAAATAATATTATAATATTATAATTTAATCAATTTTCATTATAAAATTCATATAAAATTCTTCTAGGGCTTAAAAAATTATAAAAGAATATCAAATAAATAACAATTTATTTAAATTTTTTTATTGAAACTGGTTTGCAAAACAGACACCTGACAGTTCCAAAATTTTCACTTGTACTATGTATTAATTTATTAATAATTTACACAAGTGCCCAAAAATTATGAAAAAAAAAATATATAATAGTTAAAATATAATAATATATATCTTATGGTGACAAAGGTTTATGATTTGAACTTATAACGACTCCTAAAAAAATTATTTATTTGGATCAAAATACAAGCTATTACAATCACCACCTCAATCATCGTGCTTTAGAGTTATAAGCATCTACAAAATAAAATAATTTACTTGTCTTTCAATGATATCATCAACAATGATTCTTGATAGAGAACCACAGTCATTACACTATCGGTTGCCTGGAACACCCTTAGATAAGAGAGGTTGGACAGACTAAACCAAGGCTAAAAATATTATACATATATTTTATGCAGAGTAATTCCAAATTAGATTAGCATGCATTTGCTTTAGCTTTCTGTATGCATCATGTATTCTTTCAATAACTACTAATAATTCATTATATGTCAAGTCGCATACTTCTTCTTGATCTGACTGGTCAAGATTATCGGCCATTAAACACAAGTTGGTGACTTCCTCCTCCTTTTCAATTTCTAACGAATCTAAAGCCGAATCCGCCCAAAAAGCTCTTTGGAATCTCTTCTTGCCCTTCTTCACATCTGGTTTCTCATATACCTTCTTCTTGCTAGGAGTGACTTTAAGTTTTGGGCAGTCTGATTTTACATGTCCGAGTTTTCTATATTCATAGCAAATCACATCATTTAAAATTTTGACATTCTTATGAAATTTACCTCTGTTCCGCTTTTTGTGTTTCTTCTACTTTCTCTTTAGAAAGCTTCCAAATTGCCTAGTCATTAAGGCAATGTCATCCTCATCCTCATGTTATGATAGATCACTCTCCGACTCCTCCACTTTCAATGCAATATTCTCCTCCTTTCGTGGTTCTCCTACATCAATCTTTCTTTGACTTAGTCCTTGTTCGTAAGCAATTAGTGATCCAAGAATATTGTCAATAGAGTAAACATTTAAATCTTTAGACTCTGTTATAGCAGTTATTTTTTTCATAAGCAGTAGGCAAAAAACGGATAATCTTATTAACCATTTTAGCATTCGTTAATTCCCTACCTGGAGCATACAAAGAAGTGACTATCTGAGCGAATCTTATGTACATGTCAAAAATAGATTCATTGGATTTCATACGAAAAAACTCATAATCATATAACAAGATATTTAGTCTAGATTGCTTTACTTCATTAGTCCCTTCGTAGGTAATACAAAGTATATCTCATATATCCTTTTCACTTTTGCAAGTGGAAACCCACATGTAGTCTTCTAACTTAAGTGCACAAAAGAAATTGTTTAAATATTTTGCATTGAGTTGTGCTAACTTATATTCTTCTATAGTCCAATTTGCAAAGAGTGTTTCAATTCTAATGTCATCAACTATTCTAGTTGGTTTTGTATACCCTTCTTGAACTAGGATCCACATATGATAATCAAGGACTGTAAAAATGTAGACATCTGTGTTTTCTAAAATTTGAAAGGAATATTATCAAACAAAGGAGGTCTATTGATCAAATACCCTTCAGGTGTGTTCCGGTTTCTAAAAGTAGTCATGCACATTTTTCAAAAAGTAGTCTCAACTTATGGCTTTGAAACTTGGCTCTGATGTCACTTGTTGAATCTCGATTAGGTTGTTAAACCTAAACTAATGTTCCAAGGATAACCAAAAGAAGGATGAATTCATAATTCTAAAAATTACTTCTCTTAGATTTAAAATTTTGAAAGCATGAAACAAAATAACTTGCAGTAAGTAAGCAGGGAAAAATAAAAGACACAAAGATTTAGAGTGGTTCGGTCAAACACAATCTACATCTACTCTCTGAAGCCTCCCACTTCAGGTATTGCATTATTAAAAAAAGTGACTCTTCTTTTTCCCCCACAGCAAGACAGATCAGAAGCCTTTATAAAACTCTCTTCCATCAATTCCCGGTGCGGTAGAGAACCGTCGTCCTTTCACACCCTCCAAGTATAGATAGAGAACCTTCATCCTTTCACACCCTCAAAATGTAGGTAGAGTACCTTCATCCTTTCACACCTTCCAAGTGTACGTACAGTACCTTCGGGTGTTCACACTCTCCAATTGTCGACAAAGAACCGTCATCCTTTCACACCCTCTAAGTGTAAGAAAAGTACATTCGGCTGTTCACACTCTCCAATATCAATAGAAAATTGTGATCCTTTCACACATTCCAAGTGTAGGTAGAGTACCTTCGGCTGTTCACACTCTCCAAGTGTAAGCAGAGAACCTTAGCCCTTTCATACCCTCCAAGTGTCGACAGAAAACTATTGGTTGTTCACACTCTTCAAGTGTCGGCAGAGAACCCTTGGCTGTTCACACTCTCCAAATGTCGACAGAGAACTGTTGGATGTTCACACTGACCAAGTGTCGGCAGAGAACCAGATCTTCTTCAAAGTTCTTCTTATGAGCAATCTAGAAAGATGAGTGGAAGAGTGAAAAATATAAATCATACACAGAGATCCTTACCTTTGATTAACCTTGTGAACCCTTCACATTCCATTAGCAAGAAATCTCACTCAAATACTCTCTCACACTCTCTCCTTCAATTGCCCTTTACAAATCACGAAGACAATACTTGAAAAGATTGCATGTCATTTTTTAGTGGACCTTTTATACAAAAGACACGAAAAACTATTCAGAAAATTGAATTTTTCAATTTTGAGCGTATACGATCGTACTGTATGATCGCATGTTTGTACGTATAAATAGTTTAAACACTATTGTGTACGAACCTTTTATGAATCAATACGAAATCATTTCGTACGAGATCATCGTCCTATACTTACTAGGTTCGTCCAGGACGAACACTTAGAAAATTCAATTTTTGTCTGTACGAAATGTTGGGATGAAATGTGAGAGAATAGAATAGAGGCGTAAGTTATCAGTCTTTGTGTCACTCCTTGCTTGTAAGTAATCAGTAATCCAAGCATATTGATGATAGAATAAATAGTTAGGTCTTTTAACTCAGTTATGACAGTTATCTTTACATTATAAGTAATAGGTAAACAACGTAGGATTTTTTTTAAATATTTTAGAATTTATTAGTTCCCTACTTAAAGCATGCAATAAGGTAAATATATGTATAAAATGTGTAAACATGTCAGTGATTGATTCATTCGATTTCATGTAAAATAAAAATTATAGTCGTGTAATAGAATATTCAATCTGGATTATTTTACCTCATTAGTTCCTTTATATGTTATGTACAGTCTATCTCAAATTTTTTTCCTAGTTTTACAGGTTGAAACACGCATATAATCTTCAGATTTAGGGCATGGGCATAAAAATGCCTAAGTTAAACATTTTGCGTTTAAGTGAGCTGGTTCTTCTTCCTCTAATGTCCAATCAATAAATAATATTTCATGTCCTAATGTCATCAACAAGTCTAGTGGGTCTAGTTTAACCTTCATGTACTAAAATCCACATACGGTAGTCAAGTGATTGCATAAATATAGACATACAAGTTTTTTAAAAGTTGAAAGGAATGTTATCAAATAGTAGGGGTCTAGTGATCGAATATCCTTAAGTAGTGTTATGGTTTCGAAAAGTAGCCATGGTCAATTTTCACAAATTTATCTAAAGCTTAATTTTTGTAATAGGCTCTAATACCACTTGAAAGTTCAAAAATGTTGTTAAACCTAATAAAATTATCCCA